TCCAACACACTGACCAACTGTTCGGTCACGCATTGCCTGACCAGAGGGTAGTGGCGACGCGTGCGAGCGGTGGTGAACGCCGGCTGTACGGCTGCCCGCATACGGCGCCACTGTTCGCCCCGCACTGACACCAGCATCCGGTCGATGATAGGGTGACCAACGTTTGTGATACGGATTTTGGTGTTAAAGAGCCGGAAATCCTCCACCAATACCTGTTTGATAGTCTCCGGATCGCCCACTTGTATAATCGGTCGACTGCCCTCAAAAATGCTTGTGTAATACATCATGATTAGTTTTAGCGTTTAAATAATATAATAGTCATTTAGTTATATTAAAAATTATTATACTATCTTACTTTACAGTTTTTATAATTGGATATAGGAATTATTTTCTAAAATCTAGTTTAAATTGTTAATATTGTAAATACTTTAAGGCCTATAGTTTGGATAATTCTGAAAGGGAAGGAGTTTAATTTAGGTTTAGTATAATTTATTTAACTAATAAACAAGTACACTTTATTTTGATTTAAGGTTTATTGAGTTGCGATAAGAATTTTAATAAAATAGTATAAATAGTTTTAAGTAAAATAATATTAAAACTATTGTGAATTACCCGTAAATTTTGCCATATTTGTGATAGCGTTGTATTTCTATATCAGGCTTTGATGTATACATCATATCCCATAAATTACCGAATATGGCTACAGGTTTGGGCCCTTTTAAGCCCATAGCATCGAAGTAACCAAAATTGCGGGTTAAATGTCTATAATTAAAGTAAAACATTCATCATTAAAGTGATTATAATTTTAATGTTTATTAATTAAATTTCTAGCATAGTAATATTACATAAAACATAATTAATTAATTAATTTAATACTTATAATATGCCAAAATTGCCACTAATATAACAGCAATGCCATAGAGGGGCCAGTAATTCAGGTGTAAATATTCAAACATGTTTTTTGTGATACAAATTCTATGTAATACAAGTAATTTTAAAATTTAAGATTATTTTATTACACAATTGTACACTGTTATTTAAATATAATTATGTCATATAATTATTATAAAACTGTTTACCTGTAAATAAATTGATTGCCTGTGATTTGTTACAACTCTAATAATTATAATAAAAGAACCTATTTAAACTTTTAAAAATATTTTATTATATCTTGATAAATCACAATTAGTGAATAGTAAATAAAGTTTATATACTGAAAATCTTTAGTTAAATACATTGAATAACATGTTCATTTTAATATTAAATAGATAAATTAATCCAGTGGTTAATCACTACGGTTTCATATGATTTTTAAACACATGTATACTATAATATATTTTTTATTTTGTTATGAGCATTTAAAAAACTAAATAATCATAATTCCAATTAATTTAATACAATAGCAAAAAAAATCTTATTTTATGTAATAGGATGTTTTTACAAATAAAAATGCTAATTAATAAAAACAAATAATAAATCCAAATGACTACTAAAATCTCAAAAATTAATAAAAACAAGCAGGGTACTGTACATTATCTATTTTTATAAATAACATGAAATTCAACTAACTAAATAAAAGTTTATTAGGTACAATATTATGGTAACACAATATTTTAATAAATTAGCCTAATTATTATGATGTGTTTTAATAATTTAGCCAAACTAAAGTTCCTATATCTACAATTTAGATATAATTTATAAATTAGAATGCATAAAGATACTTTGATTACGTAAATATATAAATTATATTGTAAAAAATGAATTGTTGTTTTTTAATTAGAATCAGTCTATTGCCCAACATGTATAAATTATATTGTTATACAGTGATTAATATTATTTTATTCAGTGGTTAACAACAGAAAAAACTTGCAAAACAAAATATATTAACATTTAAAATTATTACATTAGGTATACAGTATATTACTATATCGCAAATGACAATCTCTTTTATTAAGTCTAGCAAAATATCATAATAATTAAAATATTAAAATAACAATTATTCAATATTAACTCAATTGTAATTAATTTTTATTTTAGTTTCTATGTTATATAAATATTTACAGATATAATTTTATCCGAAGGTTAGTTTAGAATTTGAAATAATTATTTAAAATGACCAAGCACCCAGTCTACCATATGATGCCACTCTACTATAATCTTGTTTGTAGAATTTTAAACAGTAATAATCATGATTCATAATGATCACATAGAATATGCAATAATTTTGTATATTTAATGCTAATCAATATTTTTCCACTCAGACGTCGGGTCGCAAATATAAAATATAAAATAAAATATTAAGGCAAAAGTATAGCTGTATTCCTGATTAGAAAAACAGTTAGAAATGATTTTGTAATAAAAATGGGACAAAGAAAAAAATCGCTATTATTTTCAATGTTTGAATGATATGCCAATTGACAGTCTGTTTATTAAAACCCGGATTCAAATGAAAAACATGACAAATCACTTTCACTATTATAACTGCAATCAATAACATGAGCTAAGATTAACCAGTAATTTAAGTTTTTACGAGCTAAAATGTTGTCAGCTTGTGTGCTATCATGGCCCTTTTATGTCCTAACCTCCATCATTGCATTATATTGGTAAAGCATTAGTTTATCATTTACAAAGAAAATTTATTTAATAAATGTAAACAAAAAATATTTTATATGAACTAGGTATTTTACGCGCAATTTTAACTATTTCAAGAAGCGAGGTATCATTGGACCTAGACCGGTGCCAGTTTTAGGAAATCTATGGGACGTAATATTCGTGTCCAACCCCGAGCTTGAAGTTCAGCGTTTCAAGAAATATGGTAAAATTTATGGGTAAGTAAATTATTTTTATATTATTCTGTTTTGTCCCATTTTTAGCATAATTGATCATTTTTTAGTTTTACCTAATTTATTTTGTAATATTGATTGATCTGTGTGAAAGTCTTATAATCACACACAGAATATCAAGTAATTTAAATAGAAATAGAAATTTGATGTGCCATTTTATAGCCACGAGTAAAAATATAAAATACTTTATAGAATTTCATGGTGACCGTCTCCATTTAATTGTCAGATATATTTCAATATTCATATACAGTAGTAGTAAATGTCGTACATGTAAAA